TCAGGGCACGTGTCATGAGAGTTTCTCTGAGATGAACAGGGTAAACCTTACACATATTATATGCTAAGCCAAGCCAAAGAAACCAACTTTTAGCTTTGCATAATGTGTAAATGATTTCACTGACTAATTGCTAGAAAATGGCTGGTGGTTGCATTCTGGGAAATCTGAATTTGCTTCTTACGTGAACAAGACACCTGATTAGAAGAAAAACTAGGGCTGAAACCTGTCGTTTGTTGTTGTGGGAACTGACTTGAAACATTCACACTACTGCCTGAAAAGAAACTGATGCTGCAAAACTGCACTCCTTAAAGTAGAAGAACACAGATCAGTTTCTGCTTGGTCATATTCTCCCCAGGAACCACATTCCTGTTAGATGTCTCCTTTGCTGCTACGAAAGCTTACTTGCAGTCTTCAACCAACTCTTTCTGGAGCTTCTTCCAAACAATACCCACAAGTGGGTCATGGGGCAGGCTGATGGTTTTAAGAGTATCCAGATTCTTTTTCTGTTGGGGAAGAAGAACGAGTCATTCTTGTCATCCATGTCTCTTCAAGTGAAATGAGCTTTGGCTACTGAGGGCAAAAAGGTAAAGATGACCTGAGTTCTCAAATAGTCTCTTTGCTTGTTTCCAGCCTTTGTAGTTAGGAGCAATCCTTGTGTTTGCAGGGAGGTGTCAAGATGGCAGTTGTTACCACACAGTTGAAGCACAGTACAAGTTAAAAAAAGGGGGAGGGGCTTCAATTGCAGTTGTACTGCCATTTGGACTTTGATCCCCCATCCTGTGGACATACCTGAAATCTAATAAAATATCTTTAGAACTGGTAGAACTTCTATTAAGAAGTAGAGCATAGAATGCAAGTTGCTGTAGAAAGGACATCTATGATTCTATGGTCAATCTTGTAAGTAATGGGTGGGGATGTTAATCACCACCAGTCATAGTCTACTGCTTGGACTAAGTGTGGCTGAAGACCTGTTTGGCTCTGGTGCTGTCAAGGCTATTTCCTTCACCCAACTTATGAATTTATCTGACCAGCCACAAGACACCGATATGGACAACAGATTCCTCTCACATCAGCGACACTCTATCACACTTTGCTCAGGGGATTTGGGTATAATGAGTCGTTCCCTTCTTTTTCAAACTTACCAGCCTCCCATGAATGAACTGGAGGGTATTTGTGCAGGCAATACGGTAGCCAACATCCTCCCAGAATGAGGTGATGGTCACCATGGGTTTAGTGTCATACCACGGTAGGTAATAGTAGTAGTCCCCTGCAACAGAAGCAATCTGGCTTTGTATGGGGTTCACTGTGGGGCTAATGAAGATCAAATCAGATCACTGGTCCTTCTTATTTAGTACTGAAGACTTTGATTTCTCACCACACACTATTTGTTCTGCCCTCTCTTGCTTACCGTCATAGACAGCATGGCTGTACTGAGTGGTGGAGGCAAATGGTTTGCATGTCTCATCAAATTTGTTCCCATAGTTCCCTAGGCTGACCTCAAACTGGATCTGCTCCATAATATCATCCAACATGGTAGCCGAGTAAAAGACAACGCACAGACCGTATCGGAACTGGGGCAAGAAATGCTGGCAAAGCAAAGAATTGGCATGGGTTATATGAGAAAGGTGTGAGTTAGCCAAGATCTCCCACTTCCAGCTTCTTACTTACCTGGTTACTTTATTTATTTATTTACAGGGTTTATAAGCTGACCAAGCGGTGTATGGTTCCCTCTTCATTCACTCAGATTAAAGCAAACCATTAACATATACAGTGAAACTATAACAATCTAGCAAATTCATAGGGAAAAAAGAAAGAAAGAAAGAAAAAACCCAGGAATTTTTGTTATGTTATGTTTTGCCCATTTTCACCTTAATGGACTTGGTATTTCAGAGAATGATGTAAAGATAAATACTGCCCACCTAAGACTCCAGAAAGGAGTATGTCTTCAGGGAAGTTCAAAAGTATACTATAAAAACTCTTAAATATGTTCAGCAACTACTAAGCCAATAGAACTGGGCATATAACATTTTTAATAAAGAATATCACATTTGTACTAAAGAAGGAGCTGAAAGGTGTGTAAGAATGGCATATTTGTCATTGTAGAGGTCTCTGGCTTCTGCAGCCTCCCTGGCTTCCTACACTTCCTTTAGTTCTCATTAGGGCTTTTCCTGGTTGGGATCTATGGGTAGCCACGAAGGCTGTAGAAGGATGGAAATGTAACCAACAGCAACAGCCATCCAATGATCAACACATCTCAAAAATATCATGAAGAGCAATTTGAAGGAAGTTCATAAATACACTGAAAATAAGATTGAAAAACAGAAATAACAGCTTCTGAAAAAGTCCATGACATATTCCAGCCCAAGGAAACATTTTCCTGAAAAATAATTGTAGGCCCATTTCATTTCCTGGTTACCTGCATCTTTTTAACAGTTCCTTCAGGGATGTCATCGATTTTAAGAATTGGGATTGCCTCCATGACCGTCCGCAGCTCCACAAGAGCTCTTCCCTGATATGTGGTCCCTTCCTCCTGGAAAAATATATGAAGGGATGGTATCCATGAAATAAACAGCAGAAGATCTCAACAGGCAGAATAATAAAGAGGCATTTTAAAAAGATCTCAAGAATGTTTTCATACTTTCTTGATCTCGGTCTTGTATTGGGCAGGTTGATAAATGTGTGGAAATCCAGTCTTGGCCATGCAGTCAAGAAGTATGGTTTCAGCCCAACATGGGTTGATTCAGTTGAAGGATGGGACTTGGAAGCCACAAAATGCACCACACTGGAAGGTGGCTTGCAATCCTGAGAATAGGGTTAGGGTTTTTTTTAAACCACAATTTTAGTTCCTTATGATTAGGAAAGGCTGAAGCATAAGAGATCAAACCAAGAAATCAACTTCACAGGAAGGGTAAAGCCACTTTTATTGAGATTTGGCTGTAATAACAGAAACTTGCAAGTCTGAATGTGCTGCACCTCTTTCCTCTTCTTATACTCTAGTGAATCATGGAGGTGTCTGCCTGATCCACTTCTGAATGCTATCTGGACATTCTAGACTTAAAAAATGTTTTACCTCTTGTTGCCTTAGCAATAGAGCTTACATATCTCTGTCAAGACCATCTTCCTTCTTTCCTACAGTGTGTGTGTGTGTGTGTGTGTGTGTGTCAAAATCCTCCCAGATGGGATAACAGACCAACTTTTGGGAGTTCAGGGATTTAAAGGGTTTTTTTTGGGGGGGGGGGTTGCTTTCAAACTTCTGCTAGGCTTGACGCACCTATTTTGCTCCTTAAAATCCTTAACCCTCAAAGTGCAAAAAAAGGTGCATAAATTTCAGGTTTATGCTGTAGTTGGTCTATCCATTAAATATTTAAAAGACCACTAAGCCTAAGAACAGAAAGGCAAGACTGACCTCTTCCCACATGTATACGCCATAGTTCTTCAAGTCTGTTTAGATTTGCAGCCTCTGTGTCTTGTAGGACAAATGGACAATCAACCTTTTACCTCCCCTCAGAAGACTTTGCGAGGTCAATGGGACATATTTACCGCCTCAGTCCTGTGTTTCCGAAGATAGTCAGCTGAATTCAGAAACTCTTTTGGGCTTCCGTAGAATGTCAGAAAGCTTGGGCCAAAACATGGTAAGAAGCCTGGGGTATCTTCTGAAATCAAGAAGAGTTTAAGAGAAAAAAGAACCTGGCTGATGAATTCAGGACTTCCCGTGGCTCATTTCCTGAAAAGCCTCCATCCAAGTCCCAAATCCCACTGAAGTGATCAGTTTTAATGCAAAGAGAAAAGGTGTCAGAAAGAGAATGAGGGAGAAGAACAGAGGGGTAACAAAAATGGAAGCTTGACAGAAGTAGAAACTAAAGTGTCTGTCTGCTTGTTTCTGTTCCGCCTGGCATAGGGCCTCCAAAAAATTGGTTCTGAGGGAATTTGGCTCTTGACAAAAAGAAGGTTGCCTATCTCACAATAAATTTGGGCATGTGATGTGAGCTAGAAAAAACATATTTGGTAAGAGTGGGGGAAGTAGGAGAAGGCAAAGACAGTGGAGAAGGTAGATAGTTGAGATCAAAGACATCATGGGAATATCATTGGAAGGGCTATGGGTTATTACCAAAGATGGGTGATGATGGTACACATTTGTCCATATAGCCCCCAGGAATGGAACATGATGACAACTGAATAACTAAATTTGAGATAAGACAAGATGGGTGGTTGGTGTGCATAGACTTTCAAAGGGGTAGTCAAAGCTTTTTTGAAAGCATTCCTTGAAAGAACTTCAATGAAACAAAGGGTGCCCCTACTGAAAAGTTTAAGTGAGGCTGAAAAAAATACAGAGAAGGGAAAACAAGAGAAGAACAAAGACATCCTTCTTCAAACTGGAGGTACCCAAATGTGTGGACTTCAACTCCCAGAATTCCTCAGATGGCATATCGATTGCTGAGAATTCAGAGAACAGAAGTCCAGGTATTTGAAGGGTCCTGGGTCAAGTAAGGGTTGCTTGAGTAAGCAAACACATTTCCAGTTTGCAGCTGAAATGGTCCATGGTGAGGTTAGATGTGTGTGTGGAAGGCAAATGCCACACTCATGATGCTGGTACCATCAGCAGAAACCCTCTCCAAAAGTTAAGGATTGTGTAAGCTTGGATGGAAACAGGTGCTTCCTTAGAGAAAGAGCTCAGCACCAGATTAGGGACTTTAAAATCAGCAGGAACATCTTGAAAGTGGCCCAGTGGCTGATTAGCAGCTGAAGTGGAGCCTTCAACAAAGTTAGCTGCATGTCTGGGTAAGAGGCTCCACCAATGATATTGTTGTGTTCATGGGAGGCAAGTGACATCATGTGCATCATGATATCATCAAGCAGATGACATAAATGTGCAATTGATGTCATCACGCAATTGATCCCATCAGGGCTTGTACTAGACACCTATGACCATGAGGTTCTGCACCTTTTGCAGCCTCTGAACCATTCTCAAGGGGGGTGGGGGCTACAGAGAGTAGGAATAAGCATCTTCTTACTTTTTGTTTCAGCCCTTGTGCAAGAGATCTGGGAAAGGCTGATGAATACCGTGCCCAAAACAGTGCCTTCTCCTTCTTCTGCCCTAGGAAAAAGAAGGGGTGTAATGGGACCTCCACCTACAGAAATACTGGGAGCTTGCCAATGTTTAATTTTTAAAATCCCCTGTAGAAACACCCTTTTTGATGGGATGGGAGTTAGAATAAAGTCCTTCAGAACTTATTCTTTAAAAATAATCTTATATGTATATAAAAAGGAAGGACTGCCTTTCAGTTACAGAGAGTAATTGACTGTATCTCCCCTTTTGGTGATCATACCACCATCTTGTGGTCCTCTTTTGCAAGATAGTGGTTAAAAGTTATTTAAACTTTCACTTCAAATGTGCAATGGAACTCCAACATCCCTTTTCACAATTAAAATAAAATGAAATAAAGCTTCATCATGAAGAACTGGTTTGGGGAACAGCAGGCAGAGAAGTAACGAGAATATATTTATTGATTGTTTTGATTTGATTTGGAGGACGTCTGACTCCAGAACGACTCTGGGCCGCTTACAATACAAAACCGAAAAACAATAAAAAGAATCTAAAGAATCTTTTTTTCTATTCCTGCTGTTTCCAAGAAGCAACACATTTGCCTAAACATTTGCAAAAACTACACCTGTGGGTTGTGATACACCATGTTTGAATAGTACCAGGATCCACTTTACCTAAATGCCCTGTTTTCTCAGTTGGGGCAAATGGTGAAGATCTTATATTGTACTGGAGAAATTAAAGAAATCACTGGCACTCACCCATCTATAATAGTAAGTTTAATGAGATCACAGATAGAAGGCAGCTGCAGTGGAAATACAAAAGGAAAAAAAATTAAGATTCTTGAATTGATTTGATTCTTGGTGACTGCATCACAGGGGATTTAACAACAGTACATGGAAATGTTTGCCATAGCCACCTTCTATGATGTTTAATAACATTTTCTGCATCCCTCACAAGGGAAATCTTAATGTGTATGCAAGAGAGAATTCCCATACTTTCACATGTCTAAACCCCAGAAGAGAATGGAAAACGGAAAGGTTGCAAAAGGCACGATTAGTTGGTTTAAGATGTGGATTTATCTGATCTGTTATGATCAATCATGTTACAGAGTGAGGGGCATTTCCCTGAGTTCTTCTATGGCTCAAAAAAAAAAAAAAGAGCTTTTAGGTATATTTAAATCTTTCTGAAGTCCTGGGATCTCTGGTACCCTTAAACTTCCTAAGGGCCCTGAGGTCTCAGGGCCAAGCATTATGTATCAATGCCCTATGGGTCCTTGAATGCTATATAACAGTATCCCTATGTTTTGGGAATTCTTTGGTCGTCCACTAGGAACATCACAATGTCCTGAATTACAGAACTAGGGAAAAATATATGACCTATTTTTGGAGGTCTGGGAAAACAAATGTATTTGGTCTGTTTCCAGACTGAACCAAGAAAGAATTTGGATATCTGAATACAAATAGTTGCTGCTTTTATTCTCAAGCCAATGTTACATTTGTATAGGACGCAGTAAACAGAGCAATGCAAGATCCCAGTCAGAAAGGAAGGAAATGAGTGGGTGTCCTCCTGCTTATCAATAAATTTAGCCTGCACTCAAAGACAGTCCAGTCCCAGCTCACCTGCAGGGGAAAAGAGAGCATCTGGTTCCACACAGGGTTGGTGTCTCCAAAGATGACCTTCGTCCTTAGCTGAGCATGATTGAGAAAGAAAGCAGATCAGTCAAGAGCAGGCAGGGCAAAATAATAATCCAGCAGGATGTCCTCCTCACTTCTAATTCTGACATCAAGGACACATGGGCCAGGTTTGTATATTTTGACTCATCTGTGATGATCAAAGGTCATCTCCAGATGACCAGTTGGGAAACCTTTGGGAAGTGAAAGGGAATGGTTCTCTTGTTAAGCTGTCAATAGGGCACAGATGGTAAACATAGATGTCCAATGTGTAAATATATGCAGGCAAGGAGTATAAAATTTCTGGAGGTCTGGTTGGCTTCCTTGACTCATATGCAGAACTGATATATTTCTTATGCACCCATCTGGGCTTGCTGTTTGGTAAAGAACTGGAGCAATGCTATTTGATAATCATCTTTGAGCTTAATTCGTTTTTAATATGAATGTGTTGTTAGGATTGACCATCTATTTTGAAAGCATTTAACATAAATGACACAGGGTGGGAGGACTGGGTTCATCACAGTAAGCCCTGGTTTGTTTTAATGATGGGTTATTGACTAAGCCATGGTGGCCTGGTTCATACATCATTCTGTCATAAACCAGGCTTTCAAGCCACGATAGTTGAATTTACTCATTGTATGAAGGAGTGCTCAAGTCCAAGAAAATACATTGTAGGTTCCTGGAATATGCTAAGCCAGAGATAGGATTTATACTTCAGATATTGTGGCTTGAATCACAGAGAAAGAGATTTATTTAATTTTTATTTGTAAACAGAAAACACTGGTGGGAATCAAGGGTCATTTGCAACTGTGGCAAGCCAGAGAGTATACATAAAGCCAGGAGCATCAGTAGTGTGTGTGTGTGTATGTAAAAAAAATACGTGCATTGTGTGATTGATGCATATAAAAAGGGTTTGGGGCTTCAATCATGCAGGCCCTCTGATTTTACTGTATTTTTTTAGTCTCCTGTGGACACCCCTGCATATGGCTTATTGTGACTGTTGTGCAAATTTCAGCTCTTTTTTTTTTTGGTTTAGTGTTACTGTACATTTGGATTTGGTCTTATTTGCCTCTGTGGCCTAGTGATTTTCTGTAGTTGTGTGTGTGTGTGTGTTTTTAACATGTCATTAACTTGCTGTGCTGCTGACTAATAGCACACGGTTGACTCTTAAAAATAATAATAATTATTCCAAGAAAAATAGACCATCAGATCTGCCTTTCACCCACCACTCTTCCTGCGAAGTTAACTTCCAGAGAAGGATCCACAGATATGTAGAGAGGATCCTCAGGTAATGCTGTGAAATATGTCATTGTGTTGTCCTGTGCTGCAAAGAAGAATGAGCAACAGGCTAATTAGAGAGTAAACCACAGGCCCATTTTGAACATCCCATTTTATTAAGGGGGAGAGAAATTATGAAGTCTGTTAACTCCTTCTTGCATATGGCCTTTTCTGAAATTAAGACTGAACCCTCAAAGTCTGACTTTTCCTAAATCCAACCCTTGTTTTTTCTCTTCTCTTCTCTTCTCTTCTCTTCTCTTCTCTTCTCTTCTCTTCTCTTCTCTTCTCTTCTCTTCTCTTCTCTTCTCTTCTCTTCTCTTCTCTTCTCATCTCATTATCTCATCTCATCTCATCTCATCTCATCTCATCTCATCTCATCTCAAATT